CTGGAGTTGGCAGAAGCCTGTTAAGGCCGCCATCGCTTAGCCCTCGAGCTAAGAACCCGCCAGGGTCAAATTTGCCCTCCCGAGCTCGAGCAGATTGCAAAAACATTTGTACATGATCATTTTCGTGAACTTGCTTAAATTTAAATAGACTGTTTGTTCGAAGATACCGATAGCCGGGACACGCAATTTCTGGTCTCTGCACTGCAGATTGGGTGTAATGCATAGCTAAGGTAATTCGGTAAGTACTTTGCACAGCCCTCGGGATGGGCAAACCACGTTTAATACCGACACACGTACTGACGCAGCTTTTGTCCAAACCCGTGTAAGGCAGTGTGCAGCGCCGCAAGGACTGGTTGTTCGTGTTATTTTGGTCCTCAGAAGCACCATTTTTTGAGTGAGGGACGTCCGCCTTCTAACGCCCAGCACCAACTCCGTATGCATACTCGGCACTCTACAAAGGTCGGCCGTCAAGCACTACATGGCTCCTCGTGCTCCAGTCTCGGATTCCAAGGGAACTTACCGGCTCACTTCGATGAATACAAGACTTTAGAATGCTCACATGTGTCACGAAAGCTACGTGCAGAGTGCTTTCGACGCACGCTCGGATGTCATCCGACCAGTATCTCGTCATTGTAGTTAGCCCCCAGGGATGACCAAAAACGATAAATTTGAATTGGAAGCTGGAAGAAGAAAAAAATAACGCGATAAAATCCGTCTACACAGACAAATAAATAGCTGAGTAAAACCAAACATTGCAATAAATTATTGCAGTATTATTAGCATCTATAGGCAACGCTCTACCGTGGCCACGTCATAGTAGGATGTGTTCATTTATAAGAACATGATCATCTCCAGCGTCATAGGCGACAAGCGTTGGCGCTCTGGCGCAGCACAGCACGCGCAATGCTAAAATGCCTTTCCACAATGTTGAACGTTGATGGAATCGAATGAAGCTGGATATAGGACGCAGGCTTAGTGCTCGCCTTGCGGCGCTTGAGACCACGATCAGTGAACCCTTCCTGAGTCGACGATGACGAAGAAGCTGCTGCCACAGCTCGTGGCCCACACTTGAAGGGTCAGGCTCTAGTGCAGTGGCCCCTTCATCCGTCAGCATTGCCACTTGACCCACAAGTACCTTCACAACCGCCTTCTCGAAGGCAACAGAGTGGATAATATCTGCATCGGGTGCTAAGAAATAATAAGAAAGAAAGCAAAAAAAAGTTATATTAATTGCTAAGTTTCTACCAAATAATAACAGCAAGCAAGGTAGCTTGCGAACCTGGTCGAATCTCGATTAGGGCATCAAACAGATCACGTGCATCCAGCAGTGTCAGTCCATCCGCTTGTAGGCGCTTGGAGACCGACTCGACGTCGCGAAGAGCGTAGTCAGCTTGCGATGCGTAGCTCGGGTAGGTAGAAAGTCGCCAATGTCCTCTTCATCCGCCGATATAAGCACTGGCAAGCGGACATAACGCTCGATCATGGAGAAGATGGATGACCAGCGTGTGTCTTGGCGCAGCACATGCGACAATGGCGTTTTGGTCCTATAATTATATTCGGGTTTCCGATAATTACAATAAAGTTGAAAAAACAAGAGTAGTATATAAAAAATACATTTGTTGAGCCGCTTGCTTCACCGTCCGCAACTTGCGCATTGGCCGCTGCACTTCCTCGCGAATGATGTCGTAGGGCTTCAAATACTCACGCATGGCAAGATTTAGGCGGTGACTGGCAGGACCAACGAGCGGGACGCGAAGCAAGTTTGCGAGTCGCTTGCTGACTGCGCAGTTGTCGCCGGCCAAAAACTGGCCGCCATCGATAGACTTACCGAAGAACGGGAGAGAGCGCGAGATTGCCGTCATATGGCCGTCAGCATTGAGATGGTCATCTGGCTCATCCATCATTGAGGCTAGTGACAGAAGTGGGTACTCAGGACGGCCGTCAGCCGTCTCGTAGCAGTCGTAGACAGCCAAGCAGTGCTCCGTACCGTGCGTTCAGCCGTCGATGATGAGGTCAAATTTGGCTGGCACTTCGCCGATTTTCGTCTCCACAGCCTTCGTTAGAGACTCCATCAAGTGGTCACCGAAATTGGGTTCAAATTGGCGTACCTAAACATCAGGTACATATATTAGTCGTTGATTACGACACAAAAATAGTAACAAAATTACGTAGTGACGGGTTTCCTTGGACTTACAGAGAGCGGTAGGTTGCCTGTCACCACCCACCGCACCCATGCGAAGCGGTTCGTCGCTTTCTGACTTACTCACGGCAGCAGTGTCCCGCTTGCTGCGACGATACGGTAGTATCGCTTTCGAAGTTAGGATGCTTGGTCCGGACATTTGACACCAAATTGATGTACCCTATGCTTGCGGCACTTGCCGTAGCATAAAGGGGAAATTGCTATTTAAGGGCCGGTTCAAAGCAACCCTCTCTTGTTTTGATTGTATCTTTTGATCTAGTAAAAAGTAAAATATGGCCTTGGCATCAATCAAAAGCTGACACAATTGTATATTTCCCTGGTTATTGAATTGTTTTACATCAGCTATGGTGCGTTCAGTAGGACAAATTAAAACAGTGCATAAAATGTGACGGCCATGCCAATTAAGGGCCGCTTGATTTCACTATGGGTTGCTAAATAATCTCTTATATGATACCTTAGTAGTGGCCAATGAAAAAAGATAAGCCTGAAATTCCGAATTGCCTATTGGCTAACCGAATCCAGCCCTTAACTGGTCACCGGCCCCTAATTGGCATTTTACCTTACACGCAAATTAACCCGTCGGCTCACCTTCTTCATCGAGGCACGGCTTAAAAAAGAAGGAGCAAATCTGCCGTGGGGTGAAGGTAGGCTGAGTCGGGGCCGCGGCAAGAAAATTGTCAGACATGGCGTTGGGGAAGGAGAGGAGTTGGAGTTTGAGTTGAGTGTGCTTATTTAAAAGTGAGCTGTTCAGACTGCGCTTAACTAAATGAATTGGCTCTGCAAAATTTACACCTCAAGAGGTCCGTGAAATTAATTACTTAGTTTTGCGAAATGGTAACAAAAATAACGGCTGAACGTAGGTCATGTCTTAAATAAATTATTTTACTGAGAAATAGCTTTTTATATTTGTGTGTATCTATTTTGGGCATCCCCATTTTCGTGTCCCTCAGTCAAAAAAAATGCGAATATGACAGTTCTACATGAAACAGCTTTTGTGTCAAGTAAGGGCTACTCATGGCTTGCTATTTGTACCAGTATACCTGTGAGGGCGATGGCACCGCGAATTAATCCTGACCCATGGCTACACCGGGTTTTGGGGCTTTGGCCCATTTAGTATTTGTAGGCAACCCGTTCATTATGAGCTCCGACCTTCGGGCAAAAAAAAACTTTAATCATACACGAACTGACACCCCATATGCAGTATAACATACCGGTACTGTCAATATCGATCATTTCAAAATATACGCTCGACGCTATTTGGCAGACCTGTGGTAACCCATACACGTGTTGACATTTCCCTGGAATCTATCATATTTTCCGTTTTTATCACGTGCCTATTTACAGTACTACAGTACAAGATATCCGATATTCTCTTTCTGTCAGCCCATAGACATTTCGCTCGATGTCATTTACAGGGGTGCCAAGGTAGGAGCACCCATCAATGCGAACTCACTTGAGGCCCGTTTCTCCACCTTAGCCGTATAGTCTTGAGTCCTGTAGTCGTAAGCGAGGCCGCCATGGTACGTGACGTCAATACCATTTACCTCCTTGTCTTCATCCACACGAAGGCCAATTGTGATCTTGAGCAAGAACAGAATAATCATGGTCACTACAAACGAGTAGGCAGCAGCGACGCACTGCGAGATCAATTGGTGGAGGAACTGCTCAGGGTTTCCGTAAAAGGCACCACCATCGATGTTCGGGTTCACATCCGACGTTGCAAACAAACCCGTCAGCAAGCCACCCATAACGCCAACACAGCCGTGAATAGCGAAGGAGTCGAGGGTATCGTCGTAGCGCAAATAGTTCTTCATCTGGATAGCAGCGAAGCCCGTTGCAGCACCTATCATGCCGAACACTATGGATGCCCAAGGGTACACGTAGCCACAGGCCGGAGTGATCGCAACCAAACCGGCCACCGCACCACTAGCAGCTCCGCAGGGATCAAACTTCTTGTACAAAGCATATTCGAGTCCAACCCACGTCAGGAATCCCGCACTGGATCCCAAGTGGGTGTTGATAGCAGCCGTGGCAGCAATGCCATCGGCCGCACCGGAGGATCCGGCATTGAAGCCGAACCAGCCGAACCACAGAAGCGTGACTCCGATCATTACTAGCGGTACATTGTGCGGCTTCACAGGTTCACTGTGGTTGTATCTCTTTCCAACCATCAAAGCGGCAGCGAGGGCTCCAAACCCACTCGAAATGTGAATCACTGTGCCACCGGCGAAGTCGAGGGATCCCATCTTAGCCTCCCAGCCCATAGCGGTGATCGCCCACGAACTATCAAGTTTCATCGACCACATCCAGTGGGCCAACGGGTCGTACACTAGCGACGTCCAGAGCAGGATGAAGATCAGGAAGGAGTTGTACTTCATTCGACCGACGATTCCTCCGCTCAGTAGAGCGGGTGAGATCATGGCGAACTGGGTCTGGAAGAAGGCGAACAAGATGTGCGGGACCTCAGTAGCGTATGTGCCACTCGGTGTCTGGCCAACGTTGTCGTATCCGGTCCACGTGAACATGCCGTTCGACCCAAAAGCCACAGAATAGCCGAACGCCCAGAACTGGACAGACACCAGAGCCATGCTGACGAACGACATCATGATGGTGTTGGAGGCCATTTCCTCACCCGCCAGGCCGGCGTAGAAGAAGGCGACTCCAGGAGTCATGATCATCACCAGAGCGCTGGCCATTAGCATCCATGCTGTGTTGCCCGAGTCGACTGCTCGACCGTAGTCGGTCTCAGCTTTTTGGCCTCGACCGGTGTAGTTGACACACTCGCCGGTGGTCTTGTCCAAGTACTGCGACGTTAGGCACGTAACAGTTGAGCCGGAACCGCTCTGCGCTGTTGTGGTGGAGACGAGGCCAACAACAAGTGCCGTGAGCAGCAGCACCCGCGTGGACAAGTTCATCGTTCTTGAATCCAGAGCCTTAAAACCTTGCGAGCAAATTCCGAAATGAACAATCGAAATCGGTGCTTCTGGACGATGATGTCCGTTTAGCAGTGTAGAACGCTACACACACTTGCACGCTAACATTGTCTACGTGGTGCCTTGAAACGTCGTACATGTATTGTACGTTTGTACATGTACAGTGATTGCGCTCGGATCAAGTGATTTGGATGATCTCTTTCGGATCGGCTTGTTAATTTCGGCGCCACGAGTTGGCAAAGCAGTATTGACAAACACAAGTCCGCATGGAGTCCGCATGGGTTCGACGGATGGACACCCAGCGACTCTACATCAAAGCTGTGTTTATCTTATTAACTTAATTAAGAGCAGTACCGGTACTTGGTCGTGAACTCCATAATGAAGAGTTTTTTTTTTCGTGGGCAATCTTCCGGTGCGATGTTGTACAGTAAGCTTACATGAACTGCGAGCTGGGTCAACGCACCTTGACGAATCCCACGATCCACAGTAAGTTTTCGTCGTCAAACGCGCAGCTTTCAAGAAAATCTACTCCATGGTGATTTAAGGACGGAGGAGAACTATCGATTTGTACTGCGTAGTAATAGATCTGAGGGTTTCACGCCATAATCCTGTGCAGCCAACACTACGAATGCACTGTGTATTTTGGAATAGATGGGGTTCTAACATAGAGCCCCAAGATTCTACTTCGAAGTACTACAGTAGAATCTAAGGCACATGCCTTAGCTTGGGATCCAGACGTGTCCATAGACAACATAAACACCACATAAACGTTAAAGACCACCTTGTACCTTTCTTTTATTCTACCGCTTGCCACTTAATCTAGCACTCTTCTCTCGATATTGTTGATCAAAGGGCTTCCTACTGGCTTAAACATTCATAATGGGCTCCTTCTGCACGCTTTCCTCTGTGACGTTCGGTGTCATCATCGAAGCAAAATCGCTCGAAGGTGGGTTGGCAGCCTTCACAGTGGGGCCGTTGTGGTCCTGGGCACTGTAGTCGTAGGCGAGACCACCGTGGTACGACACGTCAATGCCGTTCACCTCCTTGTCCTCATCAACACGGAGGCCGATCGTGAGTTTCAACACATAGAGAATGATGATGGTCACCACGAACGAGTAGGCCGCAGCCACGCACTGCGAGACCAACTGGTGCACGAACAGCATTCCGTGGCCGTAGAACGCTCCACCTTCGATGTTTGGGTTCACCTCGGACGTCGCAAACAGACCAGTCATGAGACCGCCCATGACACCGGCACAGCCGTGGATGCCGAACGAGTCCAGCGTGTCATCATAGCGCAGGTGGTTCTTCATGTGCACGGCGCCAAAGCCTGTAATTGCTCCCACCACGCCGAAGATAACCGATGCCCAAGGGTACACGTACCCACAGGCCGGAGTGATGGCGACCAAACCGGAAACGGCCCCACTAGCAGCTCCACAGGGGTCGAATTTCTTGTACATGGCAAACTCCAGCCCGACCCAAGTGAGGAAGCCCGCACTAGCACCAAGGTGGGTGTTAATCGCAGCAGTAGCAGCAATTCCATCGGCCGCACCCGACGAGCCGCCGTTGAAGCCGAACCAGCCGAACCACAGCAACGTGGCGCCAATCATAACCAGTGGCACATTGTGCGGCTTGACGGGGTCTCCGTGGTTGTATCTCTTGCCAACCATCAGAGCGGCAGCGAGGGCTCCGAATCCACTGGAAATGTGGATCACAGTGCCGCCGGCGAAGTCGAGGGATCCCATCTTGCCTTCCCAGCCCATGGCGGTGATCTCCCACGAGCCGTCAAGCTTCATCGACCACATCCAGCGAGCCAAGGGGTCGTACACGAGTGACGTCCACAGAAGGATGAAGAGCAAGTACGAACCGAATTTCATGCGACCCACGATGCCTCCGCTCAGCAGAGCCGGCGTCAGGGTGGCGAACTGGGTCTGGAAGAAGGCGAACAAGATGTGCGGGATGCCCGTGCCGTAGGTGCCGCTAGGGACCTCGCGGACGTTGTTGTAGCCGGCCCAGCCGAAGATGCCGTGCGAGCTGAAGGCGGCCGAATAGCCGAAAGCCCAAAACTGGATGGACACCAGAGCCATGCTGACGAAGGACATCATCATGGTATTGGACGCCATGTCCTCGCCAGCGAGACCGGCGTAGAAGAAGGCCACACCGGGCGTCATGATCATGACGAGCGCGCCAGATGCAAGCATCCAGGCTGTGTTACCCGAGTCGACGGCGGTGTCGAAGTCCGTGCTGGCCTTCACGCCCTGATTCTCATAGTTGACACATTCGCTCGTGTCCGTGTTCAAGTACTGGGACACCAGACACGTGACGGCGCCTGAGCCGCTCTGAGCAACGGCGGGGGCGACCAGTAGGGATAGAGACGCGAACAGCGCCAGCCGAGTCGACCAGTTCATCTTGTACAACGTTGAATTGAGGCCTTGGGCGAAAAAATCCGAAGTGACAGTGCAGAGGTGACACACGAGGTGAAGGACCGAAGCGACAGGGAGAGTGTAGGTTTGTGAAGGTGTGGGACTGTGGTCCTCCTGATAGAGATGAGAGCTGTCCGTGTTGCAGTCTGCCCGAGGATACATGTACATGTATTAAAACACCGACATTAAGCGTCTCAGCCGGGCTGGCTCTGGCCTACATGTAAACGTCGCGCACCAATTGTGGCGAGAGGACCAAGAAGCGCTTTGCAGGAGAATGAACGAGGTTGGGCGCTCGCAAAATTGTATAGCGCGCTGGATTTCTGCCTGGAAAACGTTTGGCTCATGTTGAAGAGGCAAAGAAAGAGCAGTGGACGAAGCCGTGTTTTTAGGAGACAAAGCCGGTTCATTCTATCGACGTCGCTGCGCGTCACTCCTTAAACCCTTGAGTAGTTCCCCAACATCTTCAAGTAAAATCGTTTACCTCGTATTCAGGATGAGTTTAAGTGACATCGGACTGCAAGGCTTGTGCACTTTCAGTAAGTCGTACTGCCATATTTGGTGCCCATGCGCTCGAAGACTCTTGACTTGATCGTCATCCTGACTAAAAGGCATCTAATTCCCAAAATTACCAGAAAAATTAGCTGTTGTCATTGCATTCCTCACCCCAAATACATGTACCGGTAGCCTTGAAACACATCACTTCTCTGTGCGAGAAGTAAAATGCAGCGCGTAGAGAGTTTAATCGCAGCTTACCCAACCGGGACTTTGTGGGAATGATGCCCCGGCGTCAAACTAGGTGCCGCTCCTGCATAATGTGATACTCCCTCCGTTTAAGATTACTTGACCAAATTAAAGCGTAAATGGAGTATTATCATTTGTAGCAGAGGTAGCTAGCGTACCGCCAGGTGAGAACAGCACTCTAGCAAAAGCCTCCAGCTCCAGCAGGTAGGAGTGCTTGTTGCTTCTGCCTACACCTAAGTCAATACTAAGCCATATTTAGCGCTACTTGGCTCTTTCGCAAGCTATGCTACAGCATTAGCGGCCCGCTCATAGCGGGTCCATCGTCTACAGAGCCAGGCTTGAATCGCCAGTACCAGCGAGACGCAAGCACAGCGAGGCGAACCACTGCCAGTTTCTGGTAAGATCTAACATGCGATACCTTAGTGAATACTTATTGATCATAATCGTAAGCGTTGATCCAATTGCCAATCGTTTTTTTTTTTCACTTTTGTTGTACACGCGGGCGAGCTCTTGGCGCAAGAAGCCTAGATGGTACATGTAGAACCCATATAAACTGTGAATTTGGGTGCGCATGCTGCTTTGCTACAGCTTCCTCCATCCTACGCAGCTAAGCTAGCTTCGACAAACGAGCAGCATGAGTTTAGTAACAGAGCCCTCCATACTGCATAAGCCAGTAAGTAGCAAGCCGCAAAGCTAATGGAGGTCGTAGTTAACTGAGTAGAAGCTAACGGATGGGGTTCTTGTGGCTCGTGCTAGCATGCAGAGTATGACGCTGTCAGATAATGCTATCAGGGAAATTACATTAGCAGCGTCCACGTGCCGCGTCGATCTTCCGGCAGAAAGTGCTTTAACTTTGGTAAGCGTTTATTTTGACGAATACAGAAGTCCCTCAAAGTAAGCGTAGGGGGGACCGAGACACGATCTTAGAGGGTGAATAAACAGATGTTTAAAAAGTACTGATATTTAGTTAAGAAGCGAGGCGATCTTGCTCCTGTCACAGAATGCCTGCGTGCCGCTAGCAGTTCTGAATGGTTTTGGGTGAGATCTCGTCGTAGGCCACCTTACTCCAACAAAGAGCGGTGTAGATATCTAGAGCCAGTGTCAGCCGATGTTTGGGGTCTTTGCGTCCAGAGATCACCTTCCTCTGCGTGAGAGTGTACTTAGCCTCGCTCCGAAAGAAGAACGAGGTCTCATCCATGTTGCAGATCTCGGACCGGGCGTACGAGTCCGTCAGCTTTCGTAGTTTCACACGTCCGGCTTCAGCTGCCTCTTGGTCAACTGACGCAGCTTCGCCGTGCTTCCGCTTCTTGGAGATTCCGTGACGCTCTTGCAATCTATACAGCCAGCCCTTAGAGAGCTTCAACGTGGTGTTCTCGCCATACGCGTTCACGCGAAGAGCAATGGCCTTTATTACCTTGCCTGTGATAGACTCCACCTTGCCGTCCATTGCCTTAAAGACCTTCATAATGCGAGCGTCCGTCTCCTGGATGTGGGGGCTGACGAGCTGCTTGCGCTCTAGTAGACAGGGCTCCATAGCGGCCCACTTAGACTCCCCAGCGATAACATTGCGAGCGGCATCGCGTGAAAGAGATTTTTCCAGCTTGAACGCACGGGTTGCCCACGCTGCGAGCTGTGTTGGACAGTTTGCCTTTGGCGCGCATATCCTTCGCATACTTGCACATGAAACAGTTTTACTTATGAGAGCCCCGGGGTCCGGATGGGCCCCGGGGTCCCGCCAATTGTCTCACATAGCGATCTTCTGCTCCATATTAAGGCGGATCCGGCGCAGCATGGGGCTGGCGGTCATGGTCGCTTGGAAGAGTGATAGTGAGCATGGAGGGAGGCGTACGAAGCGGGAGCATGAGTTACCTCGTACATTTAATCTCCATTCTTAGTCTTTTAATGGTTTAGTTAGCGAAGAGACCGGACCGGTCTGAAGATGATGGAGATTTTTCCCGCCGACTGCAGCTCATCCAAAATCAGTGCATTTTTGTGATTGGCCAGTTGAACCTGTATGTACCGTAGCAGATATGGCGGGGTATTACGTAAGTAGGTGACGCTTACTTTGAGGGACTTCTGTAGATGATCTATTTGTGTCCAATCATGTTGATTTCTCAGCTGATAGAGTGACTTGGCCTATCACTTCAGTCGGAAATTGGGCATCTCTAGAATGTGGTTATCTGTTTAAGAAGGTAATGTGATTTAAGCGAGGGTGTCATTTTCCATTATCAGAAAGATTATTTCTTTCAGGAGCTCACAGCCGCAACCCCCCCAGCGAACCCCCCCCCTCCCATCGGGCTCTCGCCGTGGCTGTAAGTGAGCTGATGCGGCTGTTTTTTTTTCATACGTATTAGCTTGTACACACAGTATCAGCCAATCTACCAGCACTTCTAGTAGAGGGTCTCTACAATAAAATGCTTTAAGATGTACACGTTTGACTTTCAGGACCGGACAGACAGGGGTATGCAAAAATTGACTGGAGTTGTTGGATTCCCAAGATTGTCAATCACAATCTTAGATTTCCTTCTAGGTCCTAGAGCCTATTTGTGCTTCTAGAGCCAATCATCCACGGAAGAATAGCGTTCCGCCAGCCAAACGCTCGAAACCGAGCCTACGAGCGAATACCCAATATGCTTTGGCGCCATTTTTGTCGGCACACTTGTTGTAAGAGAGAGAGCTGGAGTTTGCTGTGTGGTCATTATCCAATTTGTCACATACTTGCAAAGTCAGCGACCAGCAGCACACCATGAAGAGCGCCGAGATCGTCAAGATACTCTACAAGGACCCCACACCTACCGAGCGCACGTGCACAATCTGCAGCGAAGTCGTCAAGCAAAAGAAGTAGGCCGGCTACAAGAATCTCATCACGCACCTGAGAAGTCATCACGATGGGCTTGAATCCGTCGCTGAGGAATGCATGAAAAAGAACTGCCAGCCAATTAGCACGATGTTTGTCCACAAGGACGCTGCCGACACGTACGGGTGGATAAAGCTGGTTGATTTGAAGAATGTTCCCTCGTGGAGGACCCCATCATTCGCTCATCTATTCGCTACAAGTCGATGGCACGGATGACTTTGTTGAAGAGACTGACGGCATTGGTAGAGGTCTTAGATCTCAAAATTGCCAGCGAGCTTTCTGGTGAAAAATATGCTCTGGTTTTTTTACGGATTCTGCAGTACATGCCATCGCAATTTTTGCCGCCACCAGAAAGGGCCTTCGATTTATGGCCTTTTCGCCTTTTCAAGACGAAATTTGAATGACTGCCGCTGAGCTTATTGACTTTTTGGATATGGTTCTATCCCAGTACGGTATGCATCTCTCGGACATGATCGCTATTGTCGCTGACAATATGGAGACCAACAAAGCCATTTCTCGGAGGGTTGAAGTGCCTTTCATTGGTTGTACAGCTCATCACTTTAAGCTCGCTGTACGTAAGCGCATTGCACCTCATATGCAGCTCATAAAAAAAAGTGAGTGGTTTGATGAAAAAGCTCAAAACGGAAACGAAACGTAACGCATCGCCAAACCCAAGAAACATGGATGCGATTATAAACCTGTGCCCTCACACGAGCTAGGGTGGAGCGACTGCTACCGGATGTTGCAACGTTTTGAGGATTTTCGACCCTATCTGTACCACTTTCGAGATGATTGCACTGTTGATCATGATCTCACGTTAGCGAGGACGATTTTCGCCGCGTCGCATTTGTTGATCTGATTTCGTCGCTAAGTGAGCAGAGACAGATAGCTAGCCTCCTGATGGGATAACCGCGTTCGATGTAACTACCGGCAAGCTTCAGGGCAACGACATAACTGTAATCACTGCTCGAGATACATTTGACATTGTGCTAGACGACTACGGCGACATGGAGAAGTATCTCGCTCCCGATGCAGATATTGTCGAGTCACCAGCATTCGAAAGCGGACTAGCTATAGTTCAAGCTAGTGTAGAGTCGTTATTGCTAAGAAACGAGCGTAAAGCTTTGCATCGTCTATCTGTCCACTTTCCGCTACAATGACAGCCAGCTGCTGTCGCAGCGGCTACTCCAAGGTCGAAACGTAAGCGTGCCGCCGAGGATCTGGATGAAAAGCTTAAGAAAAGATCACGCACACGCACAGGACCACAGTCGAAATTCAATGACGCGAACTTGATTCCTGCAACGTCCGTAGTTGCTGAGCGCTTTTTTTACAGTCAAAAGTACCGTCGGGTATTTGAGGAAGCGCATGAGCCACGAAAATCTCGAGGTGATCATGTACTTGAAGCTGAACTGGGACTTAGTGCCATTTGCAGACGTGTCGAAGGCCACTGAGCGAGCTAAAACCATCAACGACGCAGAGGTAGTGTAGATAACGACAATAGATTGCAATATCTAGCTTGAAGATTGACAAGATTGCAATCATTGATTGTTCTGAAGCTGAGCCGGCAGTCAATAAACAACCTTTATTTACACACCTCTGCCGGACAGAACCCGATGAGGTGCGGAGCAGACCTATTTGAACAGTTTCACGTAACTTGCTGTTTGCTTTCGCTTGGTAAACTTGAAACAGTTTGTGTAGGTGGACACATGATTTGGCCAGGTGCGCTACGAAAAACTACGTACGGTGGTGGCCCGTATCGTTTATTTTGCGCAGAGTGCCGTGAGAAATGACGACTGTGAGGCCTATTAATACGTGCCGAAGCGGTTCATGGCATAAATTGAGTAGAGTGGTGTGCGGTCTGATAGCCACAAAAACTAGGTAGTTTGTATTATTCGCAAGTGCGACTCACAACGAAGCTTGAAACGGTACATACAAAACCGGCAACGCAAACGTTGGCAATTCATAGCCGCTCCATAGTAAACAGTGGCAATTTATATCCAATAAAATTAAATAAACATAAAAATATCCAATCATCGTAAAAGTTGAATGATTATGGTAAGATCAGCTCGTCACCTACTTTAAGAATAAGTGTGAGGTGTATTGTGTTACCCGCCCATACGTGTATGTGCCTGAGCTCTAGTACCCATTCCCAACTTGCATGGAATGCCCGGTCAGGTTGTACCTACTCAGCCTGTACCTGCTGAAGCCTCCTTTCGCATTCTTATCGTAATCCTTCTGCCTCTCCCTCGGTGTTCCTTCCTCTTTGCCATTCCTGAACGTCTCCCGTTGCCCAGTGCTCCACCTTTAGCCGCAGCTCGTGACCTTGCTCTTCTTCGCTAGCCCCATAAATCACACTCTTGCCTGTGTCCATAGCGTAGTTCGCTAGCCAGTCCGCTGCTTTATTGTATTTCCGATAGTGGTGCTTCCACACTGTCATCTGCCCTTGGTCTGCTAGCTTCTGGCGATCCTGTACCAAGACTTCAGCCGCTTCGCTTTTGGCTCCTTGCGCCTCTGCATGAGCCCAAGGATCATTGCGCTGTCCCCCACCACCTGCACTCCTCTCCAATTGCGCGCCACGGCTTCCGCCAACAATCTCTGCAATCCCGTAAATTTCGCCACATTGTTCGTCATGCTTCTGCTGCTTAGACATGTAGCTGCGGCCCACGCCACCCTGGGGCGTTCGTCTCTTCTCGTCCATTCAACGATCAAACTTCCGCTCCCTCCTGGCCCTGGATTCCCTCGTGACCCTCCGTCAAAGAAGCCCAGTCGGACTGTTTCGTCTTGTCCGCATCCCCCGCTGTCGCCCCTGTGTGAGCCTGCTAATTTGCTTCTGATCCTCTCCGTCACCATGAGCTTCGCGTACGATGTCGCGGTTAACGGGAACAAGCTTGCCTTATAGCGCAGTACCGTGTCTTGCAGGATTGTCGTCATGTCGCTCTCTACCGTCCGTCTTGCGTTCTGGTCTGGGTAGACCTCTGACACCTTCCATCTCCACAATGCTGTGATAGTTGCCACACATCCCATTGTCCAGAGTGTCGTTGCTACCTCGTGGATGGCGTCCCATCGATCTTCCTTTTCCTTGTTGCCCCAGTCGATTAGCCATTGAGGGACTTTGCTCATGCTTAAAGAGAAAATGTCTTGGGCCACCTGCTTGTTGGCTTCGCCATTCGCCGTCGTCGCGGCCATCCCCCATACTTCCAACCATTTGTCCCATAGTGCCCTGGCGTCAGGGCACTCCCACATCAAGTGCTCCTGCCCATGCCTTGTGGCATTGGTGCATCAGGTGTGGCGATTAAGGCTGTGGAGAGGCACAGAAAATACGTACAAGTGTCCGGGAGCTCGTCACCTACTTCTTTGTATGGTTTGTTCATTTCTTATTCTGCAAAATGGACGACACTCCCCCAAAGAAGAAAAAGAAGCAGCGAAGCTGTGACGGGGTCACACAGCACCTTGCACATAGAAAGTGCTTAGGTGTATTAACTACCCGAGTGAGCGAGTCCATTTGTTCTCGGCCTCAAAGGGAACGAATTGCTACTTAGAGGAGTAGATGTAAGACTGATGTATTTATAAGTAACTTAGCTTGGATCCTATACAAACTAGAGTTTACCTATAGTGGAGCTAAGTAGTCATGCCCTGACTGGCTCCGAGAGCACCTGGTACTGTGTACCAGGTGTCCACAGTAGTGACATGTCACTCTTTATGTAGCCTGAGATACACTGGGTTGTACCCCGTTACAGAAGCTACATAATTCGCGAAAAGTGGGACGCCGCTCGCAGGATGCAAGAGATTGGGGTGGAGGAGGTAGCCCGTGAGCTGCTATCTGCTCGCGGCACCGCCCACGGGTGGTGGCAGCAGGCTGACAAGATGATGAGATTTAACGGCCACGCTACCTCCAAGACGATGGAGGGGCAGGGACATAAGGAACTGTCCCCCTGCTATCATCATCTTCATGAAGGACAAGCGGCGTGAGGAGCAGGTGAGTATAGAATACAATGTGTGTGTGCTTTTGTACTATCTTTGTCCATAAAATTGTGAGTATTAGGCACTTACAACACTCGGCATAATGAAGTACATGTGACAATTGAGCCTGATTGAGTGACAAACTACATGATGGACAAGAGGAGCGGTCTGCTAGCACTGCAGCGTATGTGCGAACGTCTCGCAAACCGGTATTTTAAAAATTATATATTTGTTTAATATTTGATTGTTTTGGCTGTAGACATGGGTTTACGTCTCAGAACCCCAAACAACGAAGACGAGTACGGTGGACTTGGAGGAAACTCATGCTGAGTTTGCCCTTGCGTTTTGGAGGACCTACGGAGCTTATGGACCGTCAGAAATATTAAACGTTGATGAAACCGCGATTATCTTCAACATGCCGCCCTCACGCATTTGAGCAGGCCGCGGACGGTGGGACGCTGCCCGATTGGCAAACACGTCGAAGCACGCAGGACGGATGACGGCAGCACATACAATTCGCACGGACGGTGGGAAGCTGCCCGATTGGCAAACACGTCGAAGCACGCAGGACGGATGGCGGCAGCACTTACAATTCGCACGGACGGTAAGTTTTTACATATGTTTTATCGAATGCTGTAATTTTTTTATTGATTATTTATTTTTATTTTGCAGAAAAAAGTTACCTATTCTATTCAGCATGCGTGGTAAGCTTGAAGGTCGTATTAAAGCCAACGAGCTCCAGGATTATCCACCCGGGCATTTTTACACTTCCAGGAGAGCGGGAATTCAACGTTAAGAAGCTACTGAAATAATAGGTAGAAGGACCCACTGTCCTGCTTCTTGACAGCTTTGATTGTCACGTTTCAGAAGCCGGACAGCGGGTTGTAGCTGAATAAGCTAATGCCACCGTAGTTCCACTGCGTCCAAACAGTACAGCAACGTGCCAGCCACTGGATGTTGGGGTCATGGGGCCGCTAAAAGCGAAAATGCGGACTAATTGGTCTGGTATAACGGGCGGTACGGCTTCACAAAAGCGAATGTACGCTTCAAGATACATAATAGAAGATACAGACGTAAAACGGGCTGCCAAGTAGGTATGATAGATTATGTCTATGCTTTAGGATCAATTAAACATTAGTGAATCGATGCGTTTGCGTATGGCTGTTTTATTATGAGGGATCAACCAAAAATATGAAACGTAGACCGTACGTAGGCGGGTGTTGGTATGTCCTGCTAGATTTAATGTATTTCGGTGATTTTACTCGTGTGGAGCTGTAAACCTCGAGCTATCGATTGGAAATTATATTTTTAAGGCGATTCATTTGATAATTGTATGCGTTATAATTAAGTAGTATACACGAATTAATCCCATTGGGCTGTACGTACTACTACTCGTAGCACTACCAGGGTAAAGTCATTAATCTTCCGCTATTTTGCTTTTGTCTCAGAGCCATCATTTCGCGATAGCGTGCCACGCGGCATCCCAAGACTAGCGGCGCCTTCTGTACGCCTTGAGAGCTCCCATCCCTAACCACGCCCCTACCTACTGCTCTGCGATGGCGCGGACGCACAAGACGTCGATGATCAAGACGCAGACGGCGAAACAAGCTACGCTCGAAGAAGAGGCACGTCAGAGTGCAAAAATCAGGCGATCAAGCACCCCAGCAGCCCGCACTCTCTCAAAGGTGGTCCTGTCTCCTTCATGAGGCAGAACGCAGCTGATGAAGACGAGGGACATGCTGCACAGAGTGACGTTGCAGAAGCAGCTGCCCCGGAGTACGTGGTAAGTCAAGACAAGGAAGAAGATGATTCGGAGGACAATGGCAATGATATGCTGGTGGACAAAGATCAAGCGATCTCGGCGTCCAAGCACGCTGGCACTCGGAGGACGATGGGCCGCCTTCTTCGAGAGAGCTGAATGCACGCGTGAAAACCACTCGACAGTGTTGCGTCGGCACCTGAAACGTGGAGAAATCCCCCAAACTGCGTCTTGGCACGTGGAGACCCTGAAAAACACACTTACTAGCCAGTAAATACATCGTAATGCGTGTTGGCACATCGTGATGCGTGTCGCCACTCTATACTACTGGACCTACACAACTGGCCGCGCTTCGTGCACGGCAGACTCGTCCATGGCTTCCATACTGCACAAAACCAGCACACCCAAGGCTCCTCAGACTGGAGTCTAGCGTCCAATCAGATTGGCTCCCTTTTCATTCGTTTAAGCACCATGCCTCGGACGCTGCCGTGGCGAGAGCTGGGCTTTGAGCTCGGCCGCGACGAAGCCGACGCCATCCTGGCCACGTTCAAGATCCACAGCACCGACAAGAGCAACACAATGTCCTGTAGCGTATGCCGCGTTGGTGACCACCACAGCATGCGCTATAGGCTACTCAAATGCGAGTCCAGCACCTGCAGCGACCTCACTTGCTCGTGGCGCGGCAAGGTGCTGGACTGCTCTCACTCTGGTGATACCTACCTTGGGCGAGCACTTCACTGGAGCCTCTTCCCCCAAGCGAATTAAGCTTTCCAGACAGCAGAAAGAATACTGCCGAGAGCTCGCGAAGCAAAGGCTCCGACCACTTCGTATCCAGTACGCCATGGCTCGAAACTTCCACATGTCAGCGAGCGACATCCCTCCTCTGGGCAAAGTACAAAATTTCTGCAACTACTACGCGCGTACCGAGCTTGACAACCACGATCGCGTCGACGATCTCACGCAGTGGATTCACTCACACGCGTTCACTGGTACTGAGGACGATAATGAGACTTTTACTTTCGCTTGGGATCTGGACGCAGATGGCAAGCCTGTGGTGGGCGACGGCTCGGACGAAGAACCTTTCGTTGTGGGTGTAGCGACAAAGAACATGGTGAAGAGGCTCTCAGTGCCTCCAGAGAGCTACGTCCTTCATATGGACGCGGCGTTCAAATTAAACACGTCCGACTACCCAGTCTTAGTGGTTGGTATATCGGACCGAGCTCGCAGCTTCCATCTCGTGGCAGTTTTTATCGTCTCGCAGCGGACGCAGCCAATCTACGAGGCGTGTTTGGCTTCTTTAAGCCGCCTGTACTACTGGATTACAACTAAAAGGCTGGCTCCTCGATACGTAATGGGAGACGCAGAGAAGGCGCAGCGGAATGCCATTTTTATGGTATTTCGCGAAGATCCACAGCTTCAGTATCTCATGTGTTTTTTCCACGTAATGACTAACGTGGAAAAGAGGCTGAAGGGATTTCCCTCACATGTAGCAGCAGCACTGGTTCGTGGTCTGTACGACTTGCACTTCGCCCGTGACGAAATATCATTTTCCTGGATGCTGGAGCAGTATTTGCAGACCTGGAGATTGTACCCTTACCTGGTCGACTTCTGTACGTACCTTGACGAACAATGGCTGCGAGGAAACTTTACTATGTGGCAGTGCTTTCGAACTCCCTGTGCGTTTGCTACCACAAACAACCCTGTTGAGCAGTTCAACCGAGTGTTGAAGCGTGACTACACACTGCGACGTCGCCTTAAAATGGGAACTCTGCTTAAGGAGTTACGCGACTGTTGCATGAACGAGTCGCGCAAGCAGCGGGTATTTCGCACCACCCCAGAAGCAGCACCAGCCCTCACTCGTCGCGTGGTGGAACTCGTCCGAGAGAAGCTGCTAGCTCGCAATACTGCTGCTGACGGGATGTTTGGAGATGCTGAGGTGATGCACGTGGTAGCCCATCCTGCAAAGCGTATCGTGGTGGAGGGGGCAAAGCGGTCGACGGAAGAGCAGATAGCGGCTTCGGCCCAAATGGGCGCTAACTACGCGCGTATGGAGGTGCAGGACGAACCTGTTCAACTACGCGCGAGATGGTGTCCATGTAACTATTGCTACAAGTTTGGAACCTGTGTTCATGTTCTTTTTGCCCTCCGGGCATCGGATCGTCTTGATGGAGCTGGGCGGCGGGTGCTTGTGAGTCGACGAACTACTGGCAAGCGCAGTAGCGATACGCTGGGAGGAAGACCTCGTCTTATTGGGCCTGCGCTGTCTCTAGAGTAAAGTATCAGCTCCAGCACATGCGTACGGCTTGGTAGATACTCAGGATCGGGTGCAGTGGTCTTTTAATACGTCTACAGTAACAGTTAGAGCGAGCATTTACATCATAACACTTTTGTTTTCCTCCAGCACCTTCGCCTCGTACACGTAGGTGGCGGAGTAAGGTGCCACACGTCGCTTAAGACCTCCTGATCACAATACAACCGAGGATATAAACTAAAACGAAGTTTTGACTCCAGCATCAGAGTTATTACGTGCATATTCGCAGTTGACACTCACAGGCCTTATACGCGTGGTGATGCCAGTGCTGAGAGCGAGGAACCGATCGTAGTCGAATTTGCGCGCTTGCACAGTGTCCGCTCAAGTAGCAGTAAGATACCTGTTAGGTGTCTGTGTTGCAGAAGCTCATATCGGAAGTGCTGGATCACCGCAAGATGTTCTGCAGCGAAAAATAGACCGAAGTTGATGCCAAAATCAAACGTGTATTATGAGAACCTACACTCCTACTACTCTTCTTGCCAGCACTCGTCACAAGCACACTTAAACCACACTTCATCACCGTAGTTCACCGTTATCTCAGTGCCTGCCTTCACAGCCTTCTTCATTACGACAAGGATCTTAACGTTGCGTCCGTTGCGCATTTCAATGAAATCCGCGTTTGGTACACAGGAATGCGAGAGGAATCGCATCATCGAACCACACTTGCCAGCTTCGATGTACACGTACTTCTTGGTTGTAGACTTCGTGTAGTACAGCATCGTGTAGCCGCTGTTGTACTTCTTTGCCACCTCTGGCTGACCCTCAATCTGCGCCTCGTGCGCACGTAGCTGACCCACATACTCGCCCAAGATGTCCCCGACGTCCAAAAAAGCAGTAGTATACACTCCTAAACCAACACGAGCGGTTTCAAAAAGCTTCAGCGTCGCTCGGTTCCTTGGCGCATTACTGCACAATGCATCTAGCCGACAACATTTCGATGTGCAGTAGATGGAGGACTGTGCGTTCTCGCAGGTGTCGAAGAAACAGTCGCCAACGCAGCTACAGGGATCGAAGTCTCCGACGTGAGGGAACTGCAGTCCTTCAGGAATTCGACACTCATTAATCTCGTCCACTCCGTTCGGCCACTTAACTGTCACTGCAGGCGCCAGCGATACCTCAGCCGTATCCTTCTGCGTCGTGTAGCTCGGCCGTAGTACGTGTAAGGCTTTCAAACGCTCTCGAACGAACGGGAGCTTCAGGAAGTCCTTCATCTTCTTGGCTGTAACGTTGCGAGAATGGTAGACGTTGGCTCCAGACCTGGTGATCGCACTACGGGCCATATGCTTCCTCTTCCGCGAGCGGGGTACATGCCACTGGTTTGACCGCTTTTTTGCTTGGTGGCGGATTTTGTTTCTTTCCAAACGAGTCGGTATAGCGGCCAGGTACTGCTGGGGGTCCAGCACCTCATCCGGGCTCTCCGAAGGTTGCGTGCTATCTGGAGAAGAATCCTCGCTCTCCGCACTTGTTCCTGGATGTGAGGAAACGGGTAGTGTGTTAATGCTGGGCTCTACACGCACAGTCGTAGTGCTGGGCGTCGAAGTGGTGTTCATCACCGATTCCAGAGACTCAGAATCAGAATCAGGAGCTGCTAACTGAAGAAGTATCTCCATCGGAACTTGTCCTGACACCTTTTCCTCGCTCGCAGGTCCTTCACTAACGTCTGTGCGCTCGCCTCCACTTGTTGCGGGTGGCTGAAAACGTAATTCAGAGGTGCTGGAGACACTAACGTCTCGAGCAGCTTCGGAGACTCTTCCAGCGAAGTTTGCTGCAGCGTGGGTGTCCGCCGCTTCTCTCTCCACTCGTAGCTGCTGCGCCACTGCAGCAGAGGCATCGTCAACTGCTTGTCGTATAGCAGATTTTAAAATGGTGGATCTCGTCGGGAGATCCACAGAACCATCCACTAGTTCGTAAGTCCTCATCTTTCTCCACACGGCGACTTCAAATGGTATGCCAGAGATGTTGGCCACGCGGCGCATCATGTGCGACAGCTCCAGGATCTCGCCGGTGTCCACACGTATCGGATAATTTACGTCATTAAACTGCGCGATCCTCAGAACGCGGCTCTTGCGGTAGCCTCTCGCGTCTCCGGCAACTAACGCCCGCGAATAGTACTGGATCAAGTCGCCGGCTCGGAGAGTCTCGTGTGGTAGCTCGCTGCGCTGGAGGCGTACCATACTGCTGGCGCTGGTGCGGCAGGGTGATCACCGAAGGCTTGCACGCGACTGCCAGGTTCCGATCTCGTGGGCTGTTGATGAGCAGCGGCAGCCCACCACATTCGGAAGACATTTGCTTCCTTGAACTTCGACGAACTGGGGGCCTATCTCTCTCGCTAGGAGTGCGTCGCGAGCGTGCGAAGCGCAGGCGCCTACCAGCAGTCCCGTCCACGACGTTTTATGGGATAATTTCGTGTGTTTTTCAGATCTGTACATGTGTTCTTAACGTTTTCTCGTATTTCGAGTAGCACGAACGTCGTCGGACTGCCGGACGTGACGATGCCTATGAGTTCCGTCTCAAATACTTTGCTACCATCATGAAGAGCCTGTTCACTAGCATTCTGATCGAGTACTTTGGATTTCCGTGAGAAATACCACACGGATGTGCTTCCGATGCGAAAGTATGCGAAGTGGTCCATCTGAGAATAGAGACGAATGTTGAACTTTAAAATCTGGAGTAAAACTAAAACAGCTCGCTACATGTATTAATAGTTCTATGAAGGGCTTTCTTCCCGCATGTAGTTTACTTGCAGTCTTCTAGATCCATGCGGCAGCAGAGTTCGTGTAGGAAAGATCTTGTCCACACTTGATAAAGTTACTCAGTGTGGCTTCTCGTTGAGCCAAAGGACCAAGAAACTCACGGAATGTATCTTCCTGGTGCTTCGCCGACATCGTCTCTTCGTTGTAGACATGACACGCAATCACCGACAGCAGTGGCAGATCTCGACCAAGACTCGAGCCAAGTGCCAGATGCGCGTCGAGAAACTTGGTTGATCCACCATCGCGACCGAGACTTTGGCAAGCAAGGCAAGATTCACGAAGCTACAAAATCTGCATGCGGTTGTGTCTCCACGAGCCGCCGTCCAGAGCAGCTCCAGAATTTGGTCAGCTTCGCACTCCGACACCAGCAACACGTCGCCATTCGTGAACACCAACACGACATCAATCACTCGTAGGAGCTCGTTCAAGCATCTCGCATCACTTTGCGTCTGGATTGTCGTGCAGAAATTGATCGTTCCATAGATGTGGGTGCTGGTCCAGTCGAGATCTCGAACACTTGTACAGCTCCACTGAGGTCTTCAATTGACTTGGCCTTCAGGATTTTATCATGCGCCCGCCGCTTCTCTCTTAACGGAGAGCACTTTATCACTTGGAGTTCTCTTTCTTGTTGCACCTCCTCTTTAATCTGCAGCTCTCGCTCGCAGTCCTCGGTGTGGGACGTGCTGCACACTTCATCGTCAAGTCCAAATATGAGCCCTCGACCACAGATCGCGCTGACCAGCTCATCAGCCGAGGCTTCGAAAGCCAGTAGAATCTTAGATCGAATCAGTTGGGCCAGCTTGTCAACGTGCAGCTTTTCTCGATAAATCGTCTAAGTTCCCAGTGTTCGTCGACCAGCTCTCTGTCTCGATAGAGCTGAGTCATTCAAAAGTGGATCCCATTACCAGCCCACTCGAGTAACCCACGCACCGCCTCAGCGTTATCCATGACTCAATTCAGCACATCGATTGCAGAAACGCTCGAGAGCTCACGTTGGCCTCCAATATGGAGAATACTCTGTGCAACCTCATCGAAGCTTTGCAATCCAAAGACTCTGGCTGCATCCGAGCTGCCTGCTCCCTGCATCAACTTGTCCATGGTGGGTTCGGTCCCAACGTCAGTACAGCCGTCAGTACATCCGTCAGTACGGCGGCGGCATCTGGAAGCAGCTTCATGTCGGAATCTCGTGAGCGAGCCTCTTCAAAGATGACGAACGTCTCCTTCTCCAACATCGACAACTTCTTCAGAGGCACCTCAATACGTCAAGCCATCTCTGCGATCATCCAGCAGGCGTTCTCGTCCCGACTGTCGCGTCGTGGTTGGCCACGCCAGCAAGTAGAGCCCCAGTGTCAATCAGAGCTTGTGCTTTCTTGTCTATGGCGAATAAAAGAACACTCTGTCATGATATCGAAGAACGTTCGGGGCTTGGATGAATCACCTCGTAGCTGTGAGTCACTCGCAGGGTTCTTGTCGATGATTTTCCCATTGGTGCCCAGCAACGAAGGATCCTCTGGCTCACGCTGCGTCACTGAGAGAGGGAGGAGACGGCGATTGTCGTTCGTTCCAGAGAATCCGATGTTGTTCGCTCCTGCAGCGAGAAATCCACGCCATTCTGGACAAACGTTGCGAGGACTGCTGTAGACTGTTAGAAATACACAAGTGTTGAGGTAAAATTTAATGGCTACCATAGAAACCCGGTAGACCTGGCAGAGCGCTTTAACCCTTCGAGCATCGGCAAGCCTATGTGGCACCAAAGCCTTGCAAGCTTCCCCACTTTGACTTGACTCTCTTGAACCATTGATCGTACAGCTGCTGCTTCTCCGAGACATCCAGCCGGAGCAAAGTCTGAAACGTCCTTCGAAGCTCCTCGCTCGTCAGGCCTTTGTGATAGTATCCTAGTAGTGTGAGAACGATGCAAACGTCAGGGTGACTGAGCTCTGATCTCTCGGAAGGCACATCAGCAGCACGGAATAAAATCGCGATTTTCTTCGGCCGTGAATGTGGGATTTGGGCCCAGGCGTGGGATTTGGGTCCAGGCGTGGAGGTTCAGCCGCACGTCCATTTCATCAGGTAAATCGGTCTTTTCCTAAGCAAATACTTCGAAATAGTATTTTGCTACAAAGCAAATTTGTCAAGATTTGTTTTTGCTGTACAATTAGAGCAATGAGCGGTTTCGGCGACGTCGGTGAGTGGGCGCTCGGTAATATCTCGTCAGCGTGTCCGATTTACCCGTATGTCTGCTACTTCGCTGTCTTCCTAGTGCTGGCCACTCGACGGGCCGTTCCCGGACTCGATCAGCCAGAACTTCAGAATTATTTTCATGGCCGTGCCGTGTCAGTCTGTTCGTTCCGACTGTCAAGGCTGTTGGAACCATCGCGCTCATCGGATGCATGGGAACCATCATCGCTGACGTGGTCGGTGTTAGCATCTTGGAGTGGAAAATATGGGGCCGCTGCAGGTCCGGGGTCACGACGGTGACGCCGTACGGGAGGAACAGGTTGCCGAATGCGGACAGCACCTGGCGCAGAGAGATGTCGGGCGACGGAGCTACCGGGTGGTCGCATGTTCAGCGTCTCCGAACGCGCCGCGGTGGACTTGGAGAGCAACACCTTCTCGGACGTCGATACGCTGTCGAACTCTGCAAAGCCTGAACAGGAGGAGAAGGAACAGGACGAGGTCCAGCTCTCGGACTACAGCGGCTCTGCCAACGTGTTCACTGCGTCACATTACATCTCTTCATGGTGATACTGGTGGACGCCGCCATCGGCTTCTGCTCCCACTTCCTTGACCTGGTGGATTCCACAGGTGTCGACCATCATCGTGTGCTGGCTGGTGCTGCCGCTCGCGTTCTACCTCAATGTTTTCAGGCGCGACCAATCGATATACGAGCGCGTGGTGATGGATGTGGTGGGCGGTGTGTGCACTGTCGTGAGCTGCTTCGTGTCTAGCAAAACTGGACGTCGTGAAGCGGGTATCGGGGAACGACAAAACCGTGCAGACTCGAGTAGTTTATAAGTTAACCCCTCGCACTTCCTCCGATACTATGGGGAAGGTTCTTCACGCGTGATGACAGCGAGTTGGAAGCTCTATTTCCAGTGAACAAGGTGAAAATTTGCGTCAAGATCACTCATGTGGAAATACTACTCTTACGTGCTTTGGATACGCTGGATTCTGTGGGATATCGAGTATTCGCTTCGCCGGTAGTACACATTTCTTGGCAGCAGTGGATGCGCGGTCGTTCTACGGAAGAATGACAAAACCAGTCGACGTGTTGGCCTCAGCACAGGCCCTCTCGGCTGCCTCAGCCTTCCTTCTGCGACTCAAACCGGACACTAGACTTGGTTACAGCTTTTTACAGCCTTGTTGCACGACTCTTTCTTTTGTCGAGAACGTGGCAGTATTGACGGCTGTCTGTCTCGATGGTAGCGTGGCGTGGCAGCTACTTACCACCGATGCAGGGCTCATAATTTGCGGTTAAAGTGGAGCGACCATCACACTGTCGGCGGCACTGAGTACGGCGCTTTAGATGGTGATAGAGGTGGGAACTGTGATGGCTGTCGGTGCGATGGCCCATCAGATCCAGCAGCCAGCCAGGGAGTGGGGGCGGCATCGAACGCTGATAACCCATGTGTGGAAGCTAAGTCTTTTGGAAACTATTTCAATATTTGTGGGGATAGACGTCGCATCGATCGCCAGCACTCTGATTCGGCAATCCACGGTGTCCATTGGCCTTGGACAAACTGTCATCAATTCATGTTATTCGCACATCACGTGGATATTGATCGGAGCAACCTTCAAAGCTGCTACGTCAGATTAATACGACGTTGAAACAGGACGACAATTGCGTCGAAGCCAACAGAAATGGTTATACTGAGCGTCGTCCCTGGTATAAATATTCATCGAGTGGTCAACTGGTGCGCTATGCGTTGATATCTTGCTGCTTGAGGGCGGGAACGGATTGCTACCTTGTAGGCAATGCGGCCGTTCCCAGAGGCTGCGCGTTTAACTGGCCAATGGTCATTGTGGCGAGCCTCACTTGGCCGTTCTGGCACTCGTTAGGGCGTCGAGTTTGCTACCGCGGCGGAAGCACCTGCTGCGAGCTCTTTCTACACGAGTATGGTTCCGATGTGATCGTGATAGGGTCCTACGTTCAAGCTCGCGCAGGGCACGAGGACTTTTTGTGGTATGGTTGGCTGGCTTTCGAGTGTGGGCTCTCGCGTAATGTTGGCTACGTGTTGGGTTGAACGACTTCGTGATGAAATGGTTACGTCAGGCTTGGGTATGGGAGACTGTGTGGCAGTGTGAATTGGCAAGGGAGGTCCTGCGTACATTACGCTGGAGGTGCTGCTTCGATTTTGAGGTGGTAACTAGTCTAGGAAAGTGCTGCTGGTATGCTCTGAAACAGTGCCAAGACGCTATACTGAGCGTCGTCCGTGGTATAAGTATTCATCGCGTGGCCAACCGGGTGCGCTATGCGTTGGCATCTCGCTGCTAGAGGGCGAGAACGGATTGTTGCCTTGTAGGCAATGCAGCCGTTCCCAGAGGCTGCGCGTTTAACTGGCCGATGGTCATTGTGGCGTGCCTCTCTTTACCGTTCTGGCACGCTGGTGCCGTCGCTAGGGCGTCGAGTTTGCTGCCGCGGCGGAAGCACCTGCTGCGAGCTCTTTCCACACGAGTATGGTTCCGATGTGATCGTGATAGGGTCCAACGTTCAAGCTCGCGCAGGTCACAGGGACTTTTTGTGGTATGGTTGGCTGGCTTTCGGATGTGGGCTCTCGCGTAATGCTGGCTACGTGTTGGGCTGAGCGGCTCCGTGATGAAGTGGTTTACCCAGGCTTGGGTATGGGAGACTGTGTGGCAGGGTGAACTGGCAAGGGATGTTCTGCTAGCGAGAACGGATTGGTGCCTTGAAGATAATGCAGCCGTTCCCAGTGGCTGCGCATTTACTTGGACGGTGATTAGTGTGGCGTGCCTCACTTAGGCGTTCTAGCACGTTGGCGCCGGCGCGACGGCTTCTCGGGTAATGAGCGTCACGTGATTGATCGCTTTATTGTACGTGATTGGTCAATATAGAAAACCGGTTTAAAGGCGTTTGATACCGGTTTGAGAGGTGTACAGTACCAGTTCTGCTCATGACCAGTGAATATTTTTTGAGGTGCGACACACATTGCTCATCTTTCTGCGGAAGAGTAAGGCCTCCCCCGGACATGGAGCTTGCAGATATTCTGGTCGAGGATGAGTGGGACCAAGACGAATGGGATTCATGCCCACCAATTGAGGTTACCGGTGGTGGTGAGGCAGCCAGTGCAATTAAGCTAGGCCGTGCCTACATCAACAGCCTGACAAGCGATAGTGGTTTGCATTTGCTAAAGAGGAACAAGATCCAGCGAGCGTACAGCATGCACGCTGAACGAGGCCTTTTTGGTGTTTTGGTGACGGAAAAACTCAAGCACTCGTGGCGCACTTGGACCAATGGGGCTCTAAAGACTAAAGGAGAGTCTCTAGCGATCGAAGCGGAATTAGATGCGTACATTGGCCTAGAAATGGCTATGAGCTTGGTGCCCATTACCGATATCAAGGTGTTCTGGTCTCAAAAACGTTTTCAAGGCCACCACGACTCCAAGGCAACGATGAGCAGAAATTGTTTTTAAGCAATACGTGGGTCTTTCAAGATTCATCCTCCTTTCGACGCGTAACGAACACATTACTGACTCGGAAGATGAACCAGATTATGATCACCATGATTCTCAGCCGGTCTCAGCCTCGGCCGTTAGCGCGGGACAAAGCGACAATATGAATGAGCCAGGTAGAGAAACAACCGGGTGTCTGGATAATGCCGCACATCGATTGGAAGGCCATAGAGCGGAAGCAATGGCTAGACGAGACCCCCTTCGCCACAGCCGACACTTATTGCAGCATTTCCAGCGGAAGTTTTCCTCGACTGCTGT